TCAGACTCATATCAAAACCATATCACTGAGTGGTAGATAAAGCAAAGCTGCATCTGCTCACAGGATTCATATTAGAAGGTGAGTTGATGCACTTTCATTGTGCAGTAGCATCTCATACAACAGGTTCTCTCATGTCTGGATGTTTCTGGTTGTCTTTTGAGAACCAGGGACAAAGTGTTGGCTTCTTCTTAGCCCAGTTACCTTTCTCATTCTGGGTGCTAAACGTAATGTTTGAACACCAAAAAGAGAAGATCAATAACATTATCATTGTAATAGAAGTAGTGAGCATAACTATTGTAATTTTACCTGATATCAAGCATTTGGGAGTATAAAATATAGTTAGAGGAACATTGTTTTTATCATTATTGTTGACCTAGTAGCTGTTTTCCTATAGAATTTTAACCAAAAAATGCTTTACATCGAGAACCACACACACTTTAGCACACTGATATTGCCTTTGCAGCATTTAAATTCCCATCTCAGTATAAAATAGACATTATGAAACACTCATTCCCGTCCAAATACACAAAAAACTCTTACCCAAGTTTTTATCCTGTAATAGGATATCATCTAAGGAAAATAATATATTGGCCTATAAATGTACTTGCTATCATAAGTATCTGAGGTGTAAGAGGAAGGTAAATATCTGAATCAATAGGAGGTTATTACCATAAACAATATGTGGGAAGACCTGTATGGTCAGAACGTAGGAAGACATTGGGTACACCAGAAAAGTAGCAACATTAAGTATAACAATTAAATGAATCCTTATGCATTTAATGCAGTTGGAACCAAAAGTATCTTCTTAATAGAACCTTGTTGTTTCTCCCACAGAAACTTAATCTTTTGAAGATGAGTAATGTAAATATATCACAGGGACTTACTGAGAACTTAACCATTTGATGATAGCCAATGTAAACATTCTATAAAATATTTAAGTAATGTTTATTGTTGTGTATCTCCCATAAGGCTATGAAAATTACCAGGGCTCTCCTTTTTCAACAAAAACAAAAGTAATGTTTTTGTGGGCAGCGCATCTTATTCACCAGGAGGAGTCCCATTTAACAATCTCTCCAAACATAAAAGAATCCATTTACTTATTTAGACAATCCTTTTTCAATAACCTGTAAAAACCAGAATGTAAACATTAATACAGGATTTGTAACCAGTAAAATTTTTTGAGTTATTGTATGTAGACAACAGTATGCATTACATTTGTAAAATTAATACTGAAATCATTTTGATCAGCTAGCAACCTGGGAAAAAGAGGTGTGCATTTACCTTTAATAACATTTATCTAAAAGCCAATTTAAATTATGGGTAAATATTTTTTTAAAAAATTATTTTAAAGGGAAAATTATCATTAAGCTCAAACAAAACAAGTGTATGATGGGACAGACAGACAAACATATAAGTCAATTAATTAATAAAACTAGAGTGCACTCAAATATATCTGGCCGAATAGAATAATAATAGCCCTTCATAATTTTCAGGTTTATAATTTAAATGACTAGTGAAAACTTTTTGTAGATAAATTAACAGAGATCTCTTGTACTTAAAATCAGAATGAATAAAAGTGTTTATACATCTAGATGCATAAACAATTTTTAAAGTGGTCCTAGGTTAATTGCCTTTTCTTTTTTCTTCATTATTATGAATCTATAAGAAGCTTAAAACCAATAAGCAAACATACACATTTCCTTTGATAAACCACTTCCACATTTTCTCAGCATGTTTTCTGATCTTGTCATAATCTATCTTTCAAACAAGAAAAAAATGTTTTTCATAGAGAATCCTTTCACACCAAAAGTATACCTCTTGTACTTTTGACCTTCTTAATATATTGTCCATCTCACTATCAATATGCTATAACAAACTGATTATAGAGCAGGAGCAAGTAGCATAACTTCCTGTTATGGTTATTATCAGAAGTCTGTAAGCAGAAAGTAGAGAGAAGAGCAAGTTAATTACATTTCAAGAATTTGAAATGTTTTAATACATCAATTAAACATTTGAAACCCAAAAGAATATTTATGATTTACCTAGAACTTGTAATTTTACGTTTTTGTAAAACCTCTATAGGTCTAGCAGAGTGCACCTATAGATTTTTCATCTTTAACCATATATCTCCAGACATACATTTGTAGACAGTGTAAGGCAGATATGATAAAACTGGTTGTAAACTCTTGAATTTGAAAGCCTGGCTGTAACAATTTAATTCTGAATGGATATTATTTTATCTATTGTAAATGTACAATAGAGAGGACAATTTAACCTCATAGTTACAGTTTAAAACTTGTAAAATATAAGAAATGTTTTAAATATACCAGTTACACATCTGTTTAAACTAGAAATGAAAGGGACACTTGTCAGTTAGCTAAATTTATACTTTGGTGTTTCATAGATTTCCCCTGCCTGGCAGGGTGGTGCAGCTTGCCTGGCTTTGATGATTTTATTTTTCAACTGGGGCAAGCAGTCTGCAGGAGGCACTGGGCTGTAACACAGCATTTGGTCTTTGCTCTCTGATCTTAAGTGTTATAGTTTGTTTAAATTCTATTAAAACCTTATCATTTATTCCTAATAACTGTCTAGAAAACAATAGGCCAATAGAATTTCTTGTTAGTGTAGCCCGGTAAACAAATTATTGACATACAAAGAGGCAGGGATTCATTTGATTGTCCTCCCAGGGCTCTAGACCAGCAGAGTTTTACTTTCGTCTTCAGTGTCTCACTCCTCATTCCCCTGAAGAGAAGAAGCTGCGCAGCTAGAGTAGCCATCTCAGTTTTACTCTTCATTTTCCTGCAAGATTGTTTCTTCTTTGTCCCACAGGAAAACACAAGGCAGGGATATGGGGAAAAATGAGAACCAAGACCTGTCATGTAAAGGTACAAGATCCCCATGATGAATGTAACTGTACTGTACACCTAAAAGGAACCAACAAACTCAATGAGAAAAAAGTCTCCCCTATCATTGCGTCTTTTTATGTAATGTGGCAATACAGGGTGAAGGAAAATAAAGGAGCCAGTTCAGGAGATGAGGGTGTTCAGTCACTCTTCTGTTTGAGAGGAGCTAAAGGAGACAATGAATGCAGAAGCTGCAGTGACTTAAGAGGAAATGGGAGAAGAAGCCCAAGAAAGGGAGGGAGAAGTGGTGCCAGAAGGGCAAGAGCAGGGAGGGATGGCCTGGGGAAGGGATGTGTCGCCCCTAGTTTTATTTGTGGTGAGGCTGCAGGGGGACAAAAGAAGTCACCATGGGCGCCATCTTAACTGAGGGCACAGATAGTCTGTCAAGGACCACAGTCAGTCCCTGATTGTAGCCAGAGGCACAGTCAATCCAGAGATGTGACTGTAAGTGCTTGGAGCTGCAGGTATGCTGTGCCTGCAGAGTGGGTAGAGCAGGCAGAGCCACAGGCATCGCAGCTGCTGAAGTGACTGGAGTTGATTCAGGTGCCACCTCAGCTGAGGGCATGGATGCCTGACAAGTGAACTCAGCAGCAGGCACAGCTGTGGTGCCCTGAGGTGATGGAAAGGAATGCTCCGCCCTGGAAACTAAATTAGAGAAAAGTAAACTTTGAGGAAGGAGAGTATCACTCATATGCTGCATGTTGCAGAGAGCAATTCCCACATGGTCTTATGAGTCCAGGTCAAGGGTTTCTGCTTTTGGAAATGAAATGACCTGTCTGGCTACGTGCTTTACCAACTCAACTAGAGCATTTCACAGTACTGGATACATAGTTTGCCTTAACAGTCTCTTAAGCAATTTGACAAAGTTGTGCTGCTTTTATGACAAAGATTGACACATATTTCTAACCCAGCTAAAGACAGAGATTATTGGAAGATAAGCATTCACCTCAGGTGTTCCTCTTGTGAGTCTGGAAGTCTTCCTGCCAGAGCTGTGTGTTGTCGAATTTACTCTGAGTCCATCTCGTGGGCTATATTATCCGTGGATTCAAATCTTTTCCACACTGAGTCCCTATCATACAGAGTGGGAATGGGGTCATTATCATAGGCCCCAGCATGGGGTCTACATTTTCCAGTGAGGCACTAAAATATAAGCTGATGAGAGTAAAGAAAAAAGTGAGACTTACAGAGATTCAGTCTTGGAGCTGATCTATGCTGCTCTGGGCAGGAAAGATAATTGGTGCCAATAGCACCCAGTGTTTATTGATCTCACTCATGGGAAGGTGAGCAGTGTACGCTTTGAATTCATCTAGTGACACAGTGTAAAGTGTCTGGAAGCGACTGGCTGGAAATTTGTAGAGATGGCTGATATGAAGGCAGGGCTACCAGATATGCAAACGGGGATGTTAAGGGGGAAGGCACTGCTTATTGTTCTAGGAGAGACCAAAGGGTACTGAGAGCAGATTGCAATTAACCAGAGTCTGCCAATACTGGGCAGAGACTCTGCTACAATCACTCACTCTAGATCCAGCCAATTTATAAAAGCCCCACCTATGACTCCAGGAAGCTTTGTGGAGACATCTAGACAAAAGACATAGCATAGCATGCACAACTGCATGAGTTCTCTCACCTGTACCCTGAAAAATTTATCTGCAGTGTACCTCACTCCAATGGACTAGAGGATAATGAAGTGGCCCTTCATTTAACAACATTTTTGAAAGCAGTGTTTTAAAGGCAAAAACCATATGGTTCCTTCTACACTATTACAGAACACTGCAGTTGATGAATCTATTGGAAGACACAATGCAAGGGAAAATGAAAATGGGAGAGTTGTGGAAAAAGTAGAAAAAGGGATAGGGAGATGTATTTTTATAACCAGATTACTAGTTCAGTAAATTCATCTCTCTGTAGAACTCATCATAATGGCTTTATCTTCTCTTCCAGGCTAAGGATATGGCAGAGTAATGCACTTGTCAAAAATGTCCCCCCAAACTTATGAGATTATCACTCCAACACATGGGAAGGCCTGGGGATGCAGCCATGAAGCTACTGAAGGGAAGATCATGTGTATCCTCAAGATCTTTCTGCTTTCTCGTAGGCATGTCAAAGGCGAATGCCTTGGAAAGGGAAAATGTGAGTGTGCTCCACACATTTATCCTGCTGGGCTTCTCAGAGTTTCCCTGGCTGGAGAAGGCCCTCTTTGCAGTGGTCTTGGTCTCCTTACATCCTCATCCTGGTGGGGAACAGCTCCATCATCCTCCTCTCCCTGGTGGACCCCAGACTCTGGACACCCATGTACTTCTTCCTGGACAACCTCTCTCTGCTGGACCCTGGTGTGACCTGCGCCATTTTGCCCCAGTTTCTGGCCAACCTGTGGGCACCAGACAAGACATTGCTGCCTGGGGTTGCATCTCACAGTCCTACCTCTTTCACTGGATAAGCTGCGTCAAATGTGCCCTAACAGCCGTGATGGCTATTGATCACTATTTGGCCATCTGCTGGCCCCTCCAGTACACTCTCATCATGCGTCCCTGGGTCTGTGTGCAGATGGCAGCTGCCTCCTGGTCCAGTGGCCTGGCCAATGCTCTGCTCCAAGCCACATCCATCCTACAGCTGCCTCTCTGTGCACCACACACCCTGGACCACTTCTTCTGTGAGGTGCCTGTGCTCATCAACCTGGCCTGTGGAAACACCTCTGCTAATGAGCTGGCCCTGACTGTAGGAGAAATAACTTTTGCAAACTTGGCTCCACTACTCGTGGTCATCTCCTACACCCTCATTGGTAGGGGTCTATGGAAGTTACCTTCAGCTGAAGGAGGCACAAAGCACTCAGCCACTCAGCACCTGCAGTTCCCACTTGCTGGTTGTCACCATGTACTTCGGCCCCAGCATCTACCTGTTCCTCTAGCATCCATCCAGGAGTTCCCAGGCCAAGTTCATGTCCTTGTTCTACTGTTTTTTCACTCCTTTGCTCAACCCACTCATCTACACCCTGAGAAACAAGGATATTAAGAGATTATCAATCCAGATTCTACAATCTCAGACTTGGGTGAACCAGTTAGAAGCCAGGTGATCTCTGCCTGTCTCCTGGATAAGCACATGCACACACCCATTGCTGCTCGTACGTCTGCATTTCCAAATGAGTGTCCCTGATTTTAAAATTTTGCACCATGATGATTTTAAAATTTAAGTGAAATAATATACCACTATATTATTATATACTATATATATTATATTATATATATATTATTATATATGCCATATATAATCCACTATAGGATGAAAATGTAATTGTATTTGTAAAGCATTCTTTTCTTAAACACAACAATATTACTTTCAAAAGACTACAAAACTTTAAGGATACAGTCTAATTTGGATGCTATAAAAATTGAGATGGACTGGAGACTGGTTAAAGAAGATGTGGTTTTTCTATAAAATGGAGCACTACTCAGCCACACAGAATGAGAAAGTAGAGTCATTCATAGGAAAATGGATGCACATTGAGGCCATACTCTTAAATGCAGTAAATACCATATTTGGTGTGAATACCAAACAGTTTCTCTGGTATGAAAAACTAAAAGTGTAAATAAGATCCAAATGGTATAATTGACAATGTGAAAGAGGAAGAAAAGGGCTAGAGGTGTAGGGAAAGTGGGAAGGTAGGGGAAAGGAAATAAGGTCAAAGAAAAAACATGAGAAAATAAAAAAATGGAAACTGTCTTGTAAATAGGGAAAGGTGGTGGGATAAAGGGAGGGCAGGGCTGTGGGGAAAAAATGAAAACCAAGATCTGTCATATAAAGGTTCAAGATCCCAGTGGTGAATGTAACTTTACTGTATACCTAAAATGTGCTGACAAACTCAGAGGGAAAAAAAGTTGAGATACACTAATATCAAATACGCCCCCAGAGAAAAATGGCTAATCCAGCAACTACTGAGACACTAAGTGTGAGTTACTTATTGTCGCAAGGATTTGACACCATTCATCCACAGCTCTCCTTGCTCCTTGTCTCTCCTTCAGCCATTCTCTTGGGGCCTCTGCCGTTGTTCCCACTCCTTCTTTCCCACAGTAGTCAGAGTTGTCAGCTGATGCTCCAAGGGAACCAAGGCCCACTTCGTGAAAAATTGAGAGCTGTGCTTCTCCACACCTAACCACCTTGCTCTGGTCCAGAGGATGCTGAATTTGTAGATGGGGACCTGTGGCCACAGAGACAGAATGACCTCTTCAGTGGATCACACGTGCATTATCTTTCCTTGTAATGGAGGGACACAGGGAGAAGTTGGTGGACATATTGTAGACCTGTAGTGAGCCTCAACTATTGGCATTTGTGACAACTAGTGTGCTTGATAACTCACTGGGCTTACAACAGAACTTCAGCAGTCCCCACAGTGTAGAAAAGGCAATTGGTAAGATGTTCAAAAAAAGCCAGGCAGATATATCTCCTCTGAAGTTCTCTGAGGGGTAACAAATAGCAACAGTGGAATCCTGGACCAAAGTGATGGTTTTGAGTGAGGAGCTAGAGAGTGTGGGGTACATCCCAGCATAGGCTCACAACAGACAGGATGGCTCCTGGCTCCCGGAGACCACAAGGAAATCCTGTTCTCACAATGTATCCTTAACATTATAATTTGAGCCTGAAAAGTTCACACTTCAACTCGTCATGCCTGTTGACTTCTGCCATTAACCACAAAAGCATGTGCTCTCTAATATAATTGTATCGTGGGTATTGTGGATATGACCCTCTTCTCAAGAGGTTTGGCTCCAACAGTGGTCCTGATAAGGCTCGTATAAAGTAAAACATGCCCCTTCCCAATACGAGTCACAGCAGTCACTCAGTAGGAGAGAGTTTCCTTGTTACAGCAGAAGACTAGGACAGCTCCCCGTGACAGCCTCAAAACCTAAAGCAGACAGGGCTGCTCCACTCAAACCCACTCTTGAGTTTTCTCATCAGCCCACTCCCCACCTGAGCACTGTCCTGTCCTTTAACAAATTCCCCCATCCTTACTACGGCTGTGTGTTCTGCCAAATTCCTTGTTTGGACACAAAGAGCTGCATTTATGAGGTGAGGCCGACATGAACTGTGGGTAACAGGTTCACGTGATGAAGGAGGCACAGTTCAATAAAATGGCACTGACACATTCAGTATTTCATAACATGCATGAAGTTGTCTCCTGTAAGGAAAATAAACATCTAACCAGCTAAAGGGCTCCTGCATTTCCTACTGTACTGTTGGGTTTCCACATAAAGTGTGCTACTTCAGATATAAGTAAATGAGAAAGTTTTAGAAAACATTCCCTGGGGTGGCATGAGTCTGCCCTGTGCACAATCTTCACAGAATGCCATGGCACCAACACAATGTGGCTACTGACTGACTGCATATTCATCCATCTTTATGGGAAGTTCACTGTTTTAGGGACTTTTCGTCATCTCACACAGGCAAGATGCTTCCAAAGAAAAAACTATAGGGAAATTCCCTGTAGCGTTCATCTCTACACACGAGTCCCTGAGATAATGGGCTCCCTGCACTAGCTCAGGTCTCAGAGGATCCAAGCCAGGCTACCTCAGGAGCCCCTACTCATCACTGTCTCTCCTGCCTGGGTTCTGACCACTCCCACTTCGCTCCCCATGAAACCCAGGCTCTGAAGAGAAGCTGCTCACCAGAGTCAGCCCAACTGTCTACCGCTGGCCTGTCACTCCTTGGTCTACTCCTTCTTGATCGTAAGGTGAGTGAGTGTAGGCCGGGTTGTTCTTGAGCAGCTTATTAACTTCCTTCTCTTCCAGTGAGTTTCAAAGAGAATCAGAACATAGGTTCATTCACTTACCTGATTAACCTGGACTCTTCTTGGCAATGGGGCTAAATTCAAGACAACTACAATGAAATTATTAAGGAAATGATCTCTAAAAAATAATTATTATTCTCAACACACTATCAACAAATAGATTTTCATGTCCAAGAAAAGATGAAGACAGAAACATTGAATACATTTTTAAACTCAGTTCTAAAATAAAAGCCAAAAGCAAGGGACCCATCAAGGTGGGGAAATAAAATACACTAGCAAACACTATTCCTCTCGTACCCGATAACATTGCACTGGTTGTGAGGAAAAACAGAGTGATGCAGAATGGAAAACTTGTCTCTCTGTGCTCTAGGAGATAGCAAAGGCAAACAAATTGAGAACAGCTAAATTTTCAACAAGTTTAGAGTGTTAGATAAAAGTTTGGACAAAAAATAGAACAAAGCTTGTAAGTGTAGTGAAAGAAATATAATTCTGAATGACATAAATGTATGCATTTATTAGATAGTTGTTAGATACCAAACAAGGTGCTGGGAAGGCAGGAAAACAAACTCAGGTCAAACTCCCAAAACACTCACAGGCAGAGAGGCAGTTGAGAGGGTGACTGCCATGGTGTAGGAATTCACAGTAACTCCTGGAGACACAGAGGGGAGGCCTGGGGGGATTCACACAGGAGCCCACCCTGGTGCAGGGGGCACAGGACACAGAGCCTCCACAGGTCACTGGGAGGCAGGGAGAGAAGCCTGCTGTGCAAGGGTCCAGGGAGAGGTGGAAGCAAACAGTGGAGAGTTTGGGGCTTGGGGAAAGCATGGGGCCACATAGTGTCCCATCCAGGGTGGGCCTGGCTGTGACATGGGAGTTCCGAGGGTCCCTGTGGACTTTTAGATGAGGACTGAGACTTCTGAGCATCACCCTAAAAGGCTGTCATGGGGAGCAGACTGGTGCACACCTCTGGATACAAAAGTGTCCCTCTGATAACAAGACTGACAGGACGGAGCAAGGTAAGTCAGCGAAGGACTTCATTCCCTCCCGAATTTCTTGAAGAATAGTTTATGGTTCCCAAAAGTTCCTTACCGAACTAAACCAAATTTGTGCAGTGGTGTTTTCAACAGAGGAAGTTCTTTAAACAAGATTTGTCTCCCCATGTCAGTCTGGTCTCACATGAGGTAACAGCCCCCAGGTTTACCCACCTGTGCCAGTACAGGATTTCTTCTGACAATCACTGGTATTGTCCCTACACTCCACGTCTGCACCTATTCTGCCACTGTGGGACACTAGGGTCTGATCTTCCTATTTCCGGAGATCTGCAGTGGCGTGCCGACAATTCCGCCCCACCCTGCCTCACGTTCTCCTTTACGTTCGCCCCAGTGAGAGTGGCCGATCCTGTGCTAGGCAGCTGCAGTTTAACATGGGTTGTTAACCACAGAATCCGCACTGATGCCCACCCCACCGATGCTGTGCCTGGGTTCCCTCCCCACACCCCTGCCACATTTATCATCTTTGTCTTTTCTGTATCAGCCATTCCAACAATGGGGAGGGAGAGCCAACTACACATGGTCTCATTCGAATCTGGAATTTGAAAATGTTGATCTCAGTGAGACAGAGAGTAGAGTTGTGGGGATGAAAAGTAGGCAGTGGTAGATGGGAAGAATTGAGAATTGGTGACCCAAACGGTGACAACAAAGTACAGCCAGAGAGGAGGAAAAGTCAAGAACTCTATTTTGATTCTCCAGAGAGAGTGGGTGGTAAATGCCACCAGCACAATATTATGGTGAGGGTGATGCATATACAGTGAGCTAAATTTGGCAAAAACATGACATACACATGCTTCAGAATGTCAGGCTTAATGTAATACACAAATACAGTTGGCATCTTAATAAAGAAATAACCCTGGTAATATATTTATTTATCCAAAATAAACTTTCATGGGCTTTTTATGTAATTTCCTGCTTCATATATTTCAGGTTATGTTTCCCTGTCTTGCAAATGAGGGCCCATGTAAGGAACCCGATGTCCACACCTCTCCCCACAGTCCGAGAAGCACATTTCCAGGCCCCAGTCAGCAGCTGCTCATGCACCCCTGTGTGTCTGTGTAAAATCCAACTGCAAATGTAGTGTAAGCCAACGAATACCAACACAGAGAAACACATAGGTGCTGAACATGATTTCATAGTACACAATAAACATATTCTTGAACTTTGCATAACCTGGACAATATTTCGATTAAGAAAGTCAATACATAGCTTTTCTCAAAACTTCTCTTTTACTCTGAGATTAAAGAGAGCTTTTAGAATGTTTCCATCCATAAAATTGCAGAAGAAATCCCCTCTCCTGTGAGAACCAGGTACAGGTGAGGCAGAACCACTACATCCCCGGGGTCCTCGGACACCACAGACTGTAAGCGCTGTCCCTGCCTGCTGCCTGCTGTGGATTGGCCAGTCCTGAGGGAGGCAGTGAGAGGGACAGGCCCTGGCCTCAGGGACTCTGGCTCTGTCCTGCTGAGGCTCTGCTCTCTCTGGTGCATGGCCCAGGTTCTCTGCTGCACCATTCTCTGCTCTGACTACACAGGTGTGCGTCCTTCACCCCCAGTGATCAAGTGCAAACTGTATGTGAGTTGTGACCGCGCTTGGTGGGGTGATGAGGAGAGGGGGCCCAGCTGGAAGCTCCCTCAGGCGTGCAGGCTCCTGCCGTGATGAAGAACAGAAAGCCATATGTGTGCTGTGGTGTCACAGAAGCTCTCCTGCCACTCTGCTTCTGTTGTATTATTGTGGGGTGTGCTTGCTTCTTACTCATTTACTGCTTACAAGGAAATTCACTTTGAGAATGTGGGAGTCACAAGTGCCCTCACTTGTTCCCATACATGCTGTCCGCCCCCTGAGTCTTCTCCAAACCCCTACAGTGACTGAGAATCACGGAGCTGATGTCCCAAGCCCTACTTCCTCCAGGCCACTGTCTGCTTTTTGTGACTGGACCAGGAGATTGCTACTCTAGGTGCAGACCCCGTGCCCTTTGCCCTGTACCAGATATCCACCCATATCCATGGTGCCCACAAGAACAAACCTCATTCTACAGCTAAGTTCACTGTATCTTCTCAATTAGAGTTATTTGTGTTTGATACTACTGTCCACACTCTCTCAAGACGCTTACAAATATTTCCTTCAGGGCTGTTTTCTCGTTTCCCCTTCATTTACAATAAAAATTAGCATTTTCTCCCAAGCTTCTGTTTTCTCTCTTCTTGAAACTTTGATAATATTTGCCCCTTGTATCCGGTGATATATTTTGAACTTTCCAGAATGCATCTGCAGGTTGATTCAAACTACAGTTCAGTAACATCCAGGAATCTGAAGCATTTACGTTGTGTGCTCACCCAGGGTGCTACTCTCTGGGTGCCTGGAAACACAGCTCAGAAAAGAGGCCAAGATTCACTTTCCTGAGTATGATTGATTGGACTTAGATGTTACTGTGACTCAGCTTTTTTTTCAAAAATATATGGAAATAAACAATACAGTATTGAATATTTGATGTATGTAACTGTACTGTATACCTATTTTTTTCTGTTTCCATGACATTATGTTTCTAAAGTCTGGTCCTTGTTCTTTAAGCCAGTTCAAGTGTATTCCTCATGTATATGAGATAAAAACTGTTCTTCATAATGCCTTATACATGAAAATATTTCACAGGTATGTAATATTATGGTTTATATGAAAAATTTGTATAAAGAGATGAAAATGATTGAAATACAACAGAGAGAAAGAGAGACAACAGTGTGAAGAAGATGTCTTAGTCTGTTTGGGCTGCCATATAAATTAGAGCAGACGGTGTGATGCACAAAAAGCCAATAGTATAAATTAAAAGAAAAACGACAAATAGCACAGATCTGCCCAGCGTGTGATGGATAGAGCCCTTATGCGCTGGTGGAGGATGGAAAACAGCCCAGCGGTCGGGCAGAGGAGCACAGCAGTCCTTCACAGAACTGACCGAGGGTCACCTGAGGGTGCAGAAAAGTCACTTCTGAGTCTACACCCAGAGAAGTGGAAAGCAGGGTCTAAAGAGGTACTGGACACCCGTGTGCACAGCACCAGTAATCATGGTAGCAAACATAGAAAAATGTGTGCAAAAACTGAGTGATAAACCTCTAAACACAAGTTTTATGTTTATATGTATTTCTGATATATCCTTCACTATAGAGAAACTTTAAAACTATGATATAAGTGTAATAGCTTATCACAAAAACATGAATGCTGTTTTTTTTCTAGTGGAGTATCCTGAAATGAGTATGGACAGATAACAGCGGAGGGGTTTCCATGGTAGGGGAGGGCAAGGAGATATTTAACAGGAACAGGTGGATTTTGGAAGATAAAAAGATTCACATTGGTGGTGATGATTCTTAACATTTTCAACATAAAATATTCCATTAAGCTACGTGCTTAAAAGATCATGACTTAGTAAATTTCATGTTGCATGTATCTTACCACAAAAAAAAAAGCAAAAAAAACAAAAAAAAAGCATTTGGAAAAGAAGAGAGGACTAGCCAAAAAAAATACTAAATCCTGGGTAGTGCGAAGTTTGGCAGAAAAATGTTCACAAAATGTGCACCTAATTTTGAATCTATTTTGTATCACAAATATATACTACTAAAATAGAGAGTGAAAAAGAATGCAAAGGTCACATCTACCTCAACACTGGTCCCTTTCTTTCCAGGCATATATTAGAAACTGAGGCCATGGGAAGAGAAAACATGAGTTTTCCCAACACTTTTGTCCTGCTGGGCTTCTCGGAATTTCCATGGCTGGAGAGGCCCCTCTTTGCAGTGGTGCTGGTCTCCTACATCTTCACCCTGGTGGGGAACAGCTCCATCATCCTCCTCTCCCTGGTGGACCCCAGACTCCAGACACCCATGTACTTCTTCCTGGACAACCTCTCTCTGCTGGACCTCAGTATAACCTGTGCCATTGTACCCCAGCTGCTGACCAACCTCTGGGGACCAGACAAGACCATTACTACTTTCAGATGTATCACACAGATCTTTGTTTTCTGCTGGACAATCTCCAGTGAATGTGCTCTGCTGTCCATGATGGCCATCGATCGCTATGTGGCCATCTGCCGGCCCCTCCAGTACACTCTCATCATGCATGCTTGTATGTGTCTGAAGATGGCAGCAGTATGCTGGTCCAGTGGACTCCTAAACTCTCTGCTTCAAACCACACTCACCCTCAATCTCCCTCTCTGTGGACAGAACACCCTGGACCACTTCTTCTGTGATGTTCCTCTTCTGATCAAGCTGGCCTGTGGGGACACCACTGCTAATGAGCTGGCCCTCATATCAATGTCCATCCCATTTGGAATGCTGGCTCCCTTGATGATGGTCATCTCCTACACCCTTATTGCTAGGGCTGTACTGAAGTTACCTTCAACTGAAGGCAGGCACAAGGCACTCAGCACCTGCAGTTCCCACTTGCTGGTGGTCACCATGTACTTTGGGCCAGGCATGTACTTTTACCTCAAGCCTTCAGTCAAGAGTTACCAGGCCAAGTTCATGTCCTTCTTCTACTGTGTTATCACCCCACTGCTCAACCCACTCATCTACACCCTGCGAAATAAGGATGTGAAGATGGCATGGAAGAGGATCCTACAAAGGCAGGTCAGGGTGAATTCTTTAAAAGCCCAATCTCTGCCTGTCTCCTGAGCAATCATAAACACACATGCGTGCTTACAGGCAAAGCACATCTGCTTTTCCAAGAGTGTCTGTAATTTCCAAGAAAGTGCTCTCAACTCTCTTGGTCCATCACATCAATGTTTTGAAAAACTCCTTGGGCTCACAATGTCTATCACTGTTGTCCCCACAGTCAGCCTGCCCCTTACTAACGCCTTCATGTGTGTCTGGTCTATAGACAGAGGAGCCAGCATCACGGCTCTTATGTCTTTGAGATGGTGAAAAATATCCTTTTTATTCCTTCTGGCTTCCTTCTTTATTTCATTCCTCATTTCTGTCTTTCTTCATGCTGTTGTTTCTGTGTATCCTATTTAAACATAACTGTTAGTAATACTAATTGCACACTATAGAGGCTCTGATTTTAACATTTCTCTGCCTGCATGGAATGAGTGTTGATCAGTCCCATTCTCCCTCTTCCCCTGCTCCCTGCCTTAAGTCTTCTTCTGAGCATAGTGGCCTTCCCTAACAGTACATTTTCCCCTATCATGCCATCTTTTGACAGCTGCCAAAGATTCTTCCATCCTCCAAATTGTCACTGCACTCTGCAGACTGTCTCCTTTGTTGTACAGAAGGTTTTTAATTTCATGAAGTCTCATTTGTCAATTCTTGCTGGTAATTCCTAAGCTATTCCACCCTATTCAGGATACTTGTGTCCGTACCAATGCCTCGAAGCCTTTCCACCCCTTTCTTTCAGAGTTTCAAGTCTTACCTTAAGGTCTTTGGTCCACTTTTAAGTTGAGTTTTTCACAGGGTGAGACGCAGAGATCTAGTTTCAGTCTTCTTCATGCCATGTTGAGTTTCTCAGTATCATTTGTTGAAAGAGGCCCTTTTCTTTGATCTGTGTTTTAGCTCCTTTCTGAAGTGATGCCTGTAGATGTTAAACATTCCTAGCTCATCTATTTTTATACATTGGGTAATGCCACTCCATTCGAGGAAGGGAAGGGGAAGATTTTTTTAAAAGAATGAGGATGTGTTATTTACATGTTCCAGCTCCCCACAAGTAATGTCATTATTCTAAACTGAAAACATGTACTAAGAATTACAATTAAAAAGTAAACCAAAAAATTAATTCTCCATAGCATACTTTGAAATCACTTGCTGTGGTGCTTCCAGCATTGTTTCACATGCTCAGGGCTGCTTTGCTTTTCTGGGTCTTCCATAGTAATTATTTCATGTGAATTTTAGCGTGTGTTTCTCATTTTGTGGAGAATGTCACTGATATCTTCATAATCACATTTAGTAGTATGGCCATTTTAATCGGGCTATTAATCCTGATCAAAGATCTGAATGGAAAGCCTATTAAAGTCACAGGAGTTTTTAAGCTGGTAGTAGAGAAGAAAGAAGTGTTGTGAGACAAAGGAAAAGGAAGTAGAGACAGAAACAAAAGTCAAGTGCAGAACAGAAAACAGAAAGGCACCTGGACTCAATCAGGTGGGGAGGATTGCACAGTTAAGATTCTCAAGGAGGGGCCCTGAGCAGTGGTGGCTGGCAATGAAGCAAAGGTTCAGGGCGCTGCTTATCCATAATGTAGGTCTATGATGATGAGCACACTTGCCCATGCTATTCCTGGGTACCTTTAAAAGGGAGACGTGTTTATGGTTTGTAAACTATTGTGATGTTTTAATATAATACACAATGACCAAATCAAGGCAAAGAAATTAACCAGCCTGTCAAACACACGCGGTCTTCTGTGATGAAAATATTTGAGATGAATTTCCAGTATTGAATAGCTCATTGGTAGGGCTGTAAGGAAGCTTTCTTCAGCTGAAATAAGGCACAAGGCACCCAGCACCTGCAGTTCCTACTTGCTGTTGGTTACCCTCAATTTGGGACCAAGTGTCTACTTGTACTTCCAGCCTCTATTAAAAGTAACCAGACCAAGTTCCCACCCTTCTTCTAGGATGTTATCATGCCACTGCTCAATCTACCCATCTATACCCTGAGAAGCAAGTATGTGAAGAGAACATTGAAGAGGGTCCTGCAATCTCAGGGCAGGGTAAAGCCTTTAAAATCCTCATGATGCCTGCCTGCCTCCTGGGTAGAGCACGTGTCTGCATCATTACTGCTGGCTTATCTGGTTTGCAAATGGAGAGTCCATAACATCACAGAAGAGAAGCTCCTTCTCAAAACATTAATCTGTTTACAGAAGAAATTTTAGTGCCTAAAAAACCGTGCCTTCCAAAATCTGAAATAGAATCATTGTGCTCTTATCTTGATCCATCCCAAAGGTTTGCTCTGCATAGACCTCTCATCCATAGGAAGAGTCACTTACATCCATGGCCACTGCCACACTTATTCACAACAGCCAGGGTGAAGAATGAAGCTAAGCATCCACCACTGGATAAGTGGAAGCTGAAATGTAGTCTCTAATATTCTGGTTTCTCTTCAGATCATAAAAACCTTTCACCTTTTGAAATGTAGTGTGTAGAAACAATGGACTGTTATTTAAATGTCTAAAAACAAATATTTCCATTTCTGGTAAAAATGATGGAATTAGAGAACATAAGGAATGACAGAAGCTAAACATATAATGACAAACCCTGCCTATTCTCACTTCTATGTGGAATATGAACAATTATTTCTTTAAAAGAGGAGCTATCACCAGTGGTTTCTGTTTGAGGAAATGAAGAGAGGGTCATTAAAGAGCAATGCCTGAGTGGGGCTGGCCTGGAAGCACAGCTCCACATCGCCAAGGCCTTGTCAGAGGAATGGTGAGAGGTGCAGCTGTGTGGGCACCTCCAGGCCACATTCCCCTGTGAACCTCCAGCCTTCTGGCTACACTGGTACTCGGATTCAAACCAGCAAGGCACAGGTGGTCCAAAAGACCATTGTTCTCAGCTCCAGTCTCAATTTTTATTTAATTCACATGGTTAAAGGTGATAGATTAATAACTACCACAACTTGTCATTTTCTAAGATATCTTGATACTCTTTTGTTGCTGATTTTATAACTTAGGCTAAGTTGTTGTGATTGATTTAATTCATTGTCCTTCATGATATAATGAAAATGAGATTGTCTGACAGTCATTAGAGACTCAAAACCTAAAGACAAGCTATAAGAGTAAGTTCAAAGTATTAACCAAGGAATTAAAACAAGGAAAGTTCCAACAACAAAAATATAAATGAGAAGGCATTCAAACAAGGCACAAGCCCAGGCACAGTCTGTATGCTCATCAAAGCCAAATTCTGGGGCAAATGAGGTGAAAAAGTGTGACAATCAACAACCTGGACTCACTGAACTGATAGCACAGAAAGTGACAAAAGAGATGAATGAGGCACTAGAAAAATTCAAAGCAGAAATAATTTCTGAGATAACTGCAGAGATGGTGAACAGAATGAAAGACATGATTAGAGACGCTTGAACAGAAACAGATAAAAAAAAATACATGAGTTCAGGAAAATGATAGAAGCCATGAATGCCCAGCATAGGTAAGAAATAGAAACCATGGAAAAGATTCAAATAGATACCAAGGAGATTAAAACTCTTTTGAAAGTATATTTGATCACTGAGTCAACCTGAAGACAGGATACCAGATATAAAAGACAGGATAGTGGTCAGTGATCATGAAAAGAAGGATCTCTTTTAAAAAGGAAGGGAACATGAGAAATCAATCCAACATCTCCTACATGACACAAAGAAGAAGACAGATAGGAGTCCATGAAAAGCAGGAGAAAGTACAAGTGACATAAAAAACTGTTCACAGAATAAATGACAGAAAACTTTCTAAACAAAGCAAAAGAATTTGACATACAGATAAGTGAGGCTGATAGGACACCAACTAGCCGTGATCACAAAAATAAATCTACACCTACACATGTTTTACTCACGATCCCAGAAAGCCAACAGAACAAAATATTACATGCAGTTAGAGAAAGGAAAAAGGAAAGCCAGTCAGAACCACAGCAGACTTTTCAACCCAAACACTCAAGTCAAGAGCCTCAAGGGAGGTATTTAAAGCCCTAAAAGAAAACAATCTCCAACCTAGACTGATGCATCCTGCAAAAATATCTTTCAAACCTGATGGGAAAATAAGATACTTCCATGACAAAGAACAACTGAGAAACTTCATGAAAACCAAATCAGCACTTCAGATAATTCTAAATAATCTCCAAGAAAAAGACACTGTAGATCACAACTCCATGAGGCCGACAGAGCAAATCAAGCAGGCAGGACAAGAAATTAAAGGGAGAGGGAGAAAAAATTAAAAAGAGCCAAAAACAGGAAAATAACATGATGAGGATGTCAATACATATGTTATATCCATCAGTGTCAATGGCCTCAAGTCACCAATCAAAAGAAATAGATTGGCAGAATGGATTGAGAAAAAAATCCAACAATATGTTATATAAAAGAAACAGACCTAGTTCAAAAGAAACTTATAGTCTGAAAGTAAAAGAATGGAAAGTAGTTCTCCTTGTGACAGAAGCCTAGAAAAAGAAAAGTAGGGGTAGCTATCTTATTTGCAGGCAAAGTAAATTTCAAAACAAAACTAATTAAGAGACACAAACAAGGTCACTCTATCCTTATAAAGGAAACAATCCAAGAGAAAAACTGAAAATCATAAATATATATGTACCAAATATTAATGCCTCCAACTATATAAAACAAATATTAAAGGACACTAAACACTAAATAAACACTAATACAATTGTAGCCGGGGACCTCAGTACCCCATTCTTAAAAATAGATAGATTATCTAGACAAAAAAAATCAACAACAAAATACTAGAACTGAACCAAGCTTTTGAATAAATGGACTTAATAGATGTCTGCAGAGTGTTTCACCCCACAAAATCAGAATACACATTCTTTTCAGATGCACATGTTTCATTCTCCAAAATAGACCACATACTAGCTTATAGAACATATTTAAGTAAATGCAAAGGAATTGAAGTTGCCCCATATAAGTTATCAAACCATAGTGCAATTATACTGGAGATCAATAGAAAATGAAATCTCGAGAATTTCCCAAAC